TTTGTTTGATGATCTGAAACATTTAAGTGTGACAAACATGCAAAAAAATAAGAAATCAGGAAGGGGGCAAACACTTTTTCACACAACTGTATGTTTGCATGCTGTAATGTTCACACAGCACTTCACTCTTCTTATTCTGTCTGCCGGCATATTCCTGTTCTTACCTACGGTCTGCAAAGTTCTGATCAGTGCCTGTCTCTTTAAGCCTGCTCTGATTGGTCAGTGCTTCTGGGGCTGCCTGTCAATCAATCACCGTCTACATAGCTTCACTGGTTGCAGCCGGTGTTTCAATTTATGAAGCGACTCCGATAACTGTGGAGTTTCAGCTGAACGTGTGTGTGGTTGTCGTAGTTACAGAGGACAATCCTCAGTTTACTTTTCATTTAAAATGTCTGCTGTTGATGTTTCTCCTCCTGTGAGTCTATCTTTAGTGAGGTTTGTACACAGGCCTATTGGTTTCTTGGTAAATGTTTGAGTAAACATGAGTCACTAGAGGAACTATTCAACCTTTTTTAAATGTAGAAAGAAATAGTTATGGGATTCAAATTCCGGTTGTGACCTTAAGATCATTTTGGTATTTTACTGGTTTCCAACACAAATAAGCAGCAGTTTAACGCCAGTTAACTAAAAACGTAACTGGAGTGCTGCAAATCAATGAAGCAAATGTTGATATTGAAGTGATCTCATGGAAATACTGAAGTTTGAAGATCCTGCATCAGATGCAAAATAAATAATAAATGTTTTCCAGAGCAAAAATGCATCAAGTTAAGGACTCCACTGCTAAGCAGCCAAGCACTATGGAGGACAGAATATGACTGAAGTATAAATAAATAAACGTATAAATAAATACAGCAATAAATAAATGTTTGAATACAGAAATAAATAAACAAAAGAATAATTAAATGCTGAAATAAATAATTAAAAGTATAAATAAATAAATGCTGAAATAAATATGGAAATAAATAAATTAATGTATAGATAGATAAATAAAAGTTGATAATCAAACAGGACATAAAGAAATACATATATATTTATTTCTACATTTCTGTTCACCTACATTTATTCATTTATTTATTTATGTGTCTGTATGCTAATGAGGTGGGAGGTCCTAACCTCTGTCTAAAGCAGGATTGGTCACAGGAGTGTGATGGCTTCTGGTCTACTACTGCTGCCTTGCACAGTAACGTTGAAGTTGGCTAGCCCAGTGTTGCCAAATTGACAACTTTCTCGCTAAATCTGGCGACTTTCCAAATCCTCTTGGTTACTTTTTTTGTCAAAAGATACTAGCGACAAATCTAGCGACTTTTTCTGGTGTTATTGGAGACTTTTCTGGTGTTTTGACTCTGACGTGAAAGAACGTATCGTTCTGCAGTTACTGTCCTCATACTGTCCTCATACTGTCCTCAACGAGCAGCGGGTGCTGCCGTGAGTCCCTCCGCTGTCCCAAAGCACTCACAGGCAGTCAGTCTCGCAGCAGTCCCAGCTGCAGACTGTGGAAGACGTTAGTGCTGCTAGATAGTTTTTTGACATCGTCTACAGGGATGATTTGCTAGGAATCGGTTGCTTCTGTCTTGCTCCCCTACTTGACCAAACCTGCTTAAGAATGAGGTTCGGACCGCCTACCTCATTAACATACGGACACAGAAATAAATTAAAGCTGCAAGCAGCGATGAACGGGCCCTCACAATCTGCAGCGCGTCGGGGGTGCCGGCGGGACTCCGGCCTGCGCGGCCGAGAACGTCCACGACCGTCGGACGGCGCGTCCGCGAGCGAGACGGATTTAATCCCGCGTGGACTGCCTGATGCTGGAAATGATGCTTTGCAAATAGTCCGATGCTTCCTGTATCCGCTGCCTGGCGCTACAGAATGTGTGCAAACATGCATCGTGTGTCAAATGTGAACCACATTGTGTAAAAGTCATGTAAATCGGAGGTGTTCATCACAAAATGCAGATTTCCTTTCGCCAGCAGGTGGCGCTTAGAGTATTAGGGGAAATTAGCTTGTAGACATCCTCAGGCCATGACTGTTATCAAGCATGTGAAGTTTGAGACTGTTTGGAACAAGTCCAGCGGAGTTACATCAGCTTTTTTCATGAGGAATCACTTAAAGTAGCCGCCCGCTACGGCTAAACGATTCCGTCAAACGTAAAGCTTTTGATAACTTTTAATCACAACGGTCTTGACATGGTACTGACACAATTTAAAGTGGATCTGATGAAGTCCCTAGGAGGAGTTCGTTAAAGTATAGCGACTAGAAATAGGCCAAAATCTATGGAAAAATGACACAAATATCAAAATTACGGACTTCCGGTAGGGTTTAGAGCATGGTCCCAAGAGACTTATATTTAAGTCTCCGTAGGATACATGTGACTATCAAGTTTCATACATGTAGCTCAAACGTAGCACTGGGGCTGCTGTTTTGAAATATTGTAGGGGGCGCTATTTAAAACGGCCAAGCCCAAAACCCATATACTCTATGTCTGCCTCTGACCTATGACACATGTACAAAGTTCCATGCGTTTTTGAGCATCCCAACCCACTAAACCATCAGCTTCCTTTTTCATGGCGAACGATGCGCCGCCACGGCAACAGCGTTCAACGAAAACGCACAATATTCTCGGCGATTTATCATCAATGTCTTAAGGCCATCATTACCAAATTTGAGACTCATCAGGTCACCTGGCTAGGAGGAAGAAATAAAAGTATAAAATATGACATTTCCTTTAGCCAGTAGGTGGCGCTATGAGTTATTGGATTTTTTTCAATTGAAGTATGTTGCATTCCTATGCATCATGCATAGGAAGTTTTGTGCGGATTGGATAATGTACCTTGGAGTTATAACAACTTCTTTTTTCATAAACAATGAGGCAAAATAGCCGACACGCCAGGTCAAGGTTCTTTGATGAAAACTCTCGATTTTGATAACTTTTAATCACAAAGGTCTTAAGAGCATCCTGACCAAAGGAGAAGTTGATCGCATAAAATCTGTAGGAGGAGTTTGTTAAAATACGAAGGCTGAAATCGGCAAAAAGTGACAAAAAGGCCAAATTCGCAGGTTTACTGTAGCGTTCCCTAGTGGTTGAATGCAAAACAAATCTCAGGGTATGTTACAGCATGCGATGTGCACATATGCTGAATATTTGGTAATTTTAGGATAAACGGTTGAGAAGTTATGTGTATTGACATTAAGCCACGCCCCTAAGAAGTTTATTGGTCCATATCTTGTAAACGAAAAGAGATATCAAAAAGCTTTTGATAACTTTTGATGATGTAGATCCGGTAATCATTCACAGCAAATTTGGTAGTAATCAGACCAAGCATGTAGGACAAGTTCACAAAAATGTGTTTTTCACTAAATTAAAGATGGCGAAAAATCTAAGTAGGCGGAGCTTAGGGGTCTGAGAGGCTTTTTTTATTTTAGATCTAGCGGTGACGGACATATGAGTCGAATTTCAAGTAAATCGGACATACTGGCCGAGGGGTGTCGCCGGGCCGACTTGTAGGGGGTGCTAGAGAGCCATTTTTCCACACACAAAGACGCATCCTTTTTCAGATGGCTATTTTCACCAGGCCTGACAAGTGTGCAAAATTTGGTGAGTTTTCGTGCATGGCAAGTACCCCCAATATAGTCCCAAAGTGTAAAAATAAGAATCACAAAAAATAATACCCCTTACAATATCAATAGGGCCTTCGCAGGCCCGACGTTGTCGGTCGCTCGGGCCCTAATAAAGGAATACAGAAATGTGGAAATAGATTTATTTATTTATGTCCTGTTTAGGTATCAAGTTGTATTTATTCATTTCAGCATTTCAATATTTCTGTATTCATTTATTTATTTATACTTAAGACATGTTTGGTCCTCCATAAAGAACACAGAGACGACAGCATGGTCTTCAGGTCTACACAGTGTGGTCACACCTTCACCTGGCTGCCTCCTGTTTCTAAGACATGGCTGCTGTATGTGAGTGTTAGGAGTTCAAACCCTTATGTATTCCATTCTTTTACGTTCAAAAGTTAAAGGCTGTTTTCTACATCAACAACCGCCATTCAAAACGTAACACAAATCAGATATGATTTGATATTGTAATGATAAAGGAAACAAAGACATACACGAGGAGAGCGACATATTCTCAGCGGTCGTAACAACAACCACAGATGCATTTGTGTGGAGATCACCTGTTAACAGCATCCCTCAGCTGTGTCCACATGGAGGTTTAGGAACACTTTTACCATGAATTAAAACTAAACACAGCACACGTTCCAGCAGGAATGTCATCCGCCACCAAGATTACAGATTTCTTTTGACCCTTTTTTCCAGTAAATAATGCTGTTTATTTTATCTTTATACATCAATGTGAGCTGCAGAGCTAACATGTTAGCAAACACAGTGGCTATCAGTGTGGTGGTGGGAAATAGATGTGAAAAAGTAGTCAGGTGATTATTTCTGGTAAAGAGACGACTGTTGATTACTGTACAAGCTGGTGCCATGCTACCATGACTACACACGATGTCAGTGACAGTTAGGCAGCACGTCTACACAGCTGAATTACTGATCTTCTAGAAACGTTTTCACTTGTCACACAGTTAATGCCATATTCATGCTATGAAATGTCGATTGTGTCTGAAACTAGGGGCAATATGACCGAAAATCTATATCTGGTGTTTTTCGTTTTTTTAAAGGCATATTCCACTCAAAACAAGATTCTATCAACTTTCACTTTCTTGGCAATGTAAGGGAACATATATGAAGAGAGAAGAAAATGTAAAAAAGTGAAGATCCATAGTATAGCTCATTTTCATTCATATACAGAACACATCTGTTTTGAGAGAAATAGCCCATCCCATAATGTAAGTGTAATGTGATTCATTCAGTTGGCAGTAACAAAATGGGAATTCAATTACACTTAAATTAATTTACATTTTGAAGAAACCAAAAACTGACAAACTTATACTTGTGGGCGACCGTAGCCAGTCTAAGCCGTGTGGTTCAGTGATGTCTCTCCCATGTCCTCGTATGTGTGCGTGCATCAGTGATGTCTCTCCCATGTGTGCGTTCATCACAGTAAAGACGAACCAGTACACCGTACACCCTTTTATTATTGTCAAAATATTTTGTCATCTATGACGAAATAGGTGTGTTGTGTTGCTTAGTCAGTATTTACTACCTGGATTTAAAAAGGACAAATCACTCCTTCAAAATAAAGCCCTTTATTCACAGACTGACATTAAAATTGAGTACACAATGCAAAAAGTAACAAAGCCATAATTTGTATGTAAACTGTCCAGATCATGTGCTCCATCAGTAAAGGGTTTCTTGTCTTGTGACTAAAGTTGTGTCGGATGCTGATGGAGCTCTCAGGTCAGAGGTCATCCTGACTCGTCTTCTCCTCTGATGGGTTCTCATACTGTGAAGAGTCTGCTGGGTTCAGGAACACCTCATCAGACAGGAGCTTTAGGATCGAGCATCAGGTCACTGAGACAACATGTAAAACATGGCAGATTCACTGTTACATTATACTGTCATGTAATAACATCAAGGTGTATGACAGGAAGAAGGGTATAGTTTACTACATCATCATCTTACATGTGTAATTATGGCAACAGCTACAAACAGTGTAAAAATGATAAATCAGTTTTATCAAGTATGGAGGAAGAAATTAATTATGTGACTGGAGAGTAACTGGTGTGTAAACCAATGCTTGTAAACTACACTGGAACTGCTACTATGGTGCTACAGTCAGTCACTAATATTACAGTGTGTCTGTGAATCATAAGGATCATAGTAACTGTACTCTCTGTTCAGCTGCTCCCTACAGCACGTAGAAGTATTAATTAGCATAAGACAACAATGAAACATTTCACGTTAAATGGTCTTAATCCCTCTCCGTAGTGGGGAAGCACAGAGAAGAGCTTTATTGTCTTTACTGTTATTTTCTGCTGGAGCACTCACTCGCTTACGTTAATCGTTTTATAGCCAAGTAGCACACACAAGGAATGTGTCTCTGTGAGTTGCTGCATAACAATGAACACAATGCAAAAGTCTTAAGACATAATATAAATGAGCTTATTTTAACTTGTGTCAAAGGAGCCGAGCGTCCCCGCACCACCAACCTGAGCAAGTTAGTGACTGGTGCTAACGAATCAAAGCTACACAACCAAGCAAAGGAGCAACTTCTGTTTTTTTTTTATTGTGTAGTTTGATCATATATTTTTCACATGTGTGCCTTCAGGACAGTGTATGAATAAAATACAAAATAAAGTAAATCTACACACACACATACTCAAAACACACAGACCGGTGTTTTGATTAATCATGCGACCCTGTTAACTGGTGACCTTCAGTCAAATGCATCTGTGGTTGTCGTAGTTACCACATCTGTTGAAAACAGAATGCCCATTGTTACGTTTTCATTCCATGTGGGATCGGTCTCCAGAGGCTCAGAGCTTGTTGCCCTTATTCTTCCTGTGAGTCTATCTCGAGTAAAGCTCTACATAGGGCTATTCGCTGTTTGGAGAAAGTTACCAAAAGCACAGAGGAAATGAAAGTGGGCAGACTATTCAGCATGCCATTCCTCCGAGGACAGAGCATGAAGCAAAAACATACAGCAGCCATGTCTTAGACACAGGAGGGGTGCTTGGCTGCTTAGCAGTGGTCCTTAACTTGATGCATTTTTGCTCTGGAGAACATTTATTATTTATTTTGCATCTGATGCAGGATCTTCAAACTTCAGTATTTCCACGAGATCACTTCAATATCAACATTTGTTTCATTGCTTTGCGTTAAACTGCTGCTTATTGGTGTTGGAAACCAGTAAAATACAAAAATGGTCTTAAGGTCCCGACAGGAGATGGCTCGCTGTACGTGTTGTTGTGTTAAGAGTATGGCGATTTTTTTTTATGTTTCAAAGCGATGAATAGTTATTTTATGTGATCTATGTGGAAACTTTATTAGAGATACAATAACAGGAAGGGAAGTTTGCTTAAAAAGCAACTGAGTGGACACGTGTCTTCAAACAAGCCTCCAAAGACATTTCAGATATGTTTTTACATTGTAATGAAAAATGAGGCATCCACGAGAACAGCTGTATTCTCTTCTTGTTTTCAACTACTGTGGTAAGTACGACACACTTGGCTGAAAGTAGCCAGTTAACAGGGTCACTTGATAAATGAAACCACTGGTGTGGATCTCGGAGGGGACTGGCCTTCATATAAACCAAGCCTACTCCTGTCTATATTTACCTGGCTTCATACGAGACCTAATGTCAACACAGTCTGTCTTTGTATTGCCTAACATTACTACATTACTCCAGCCTGTGGACCTAAGATCAAAGCTAGCTGCATTAGCAGCGCATTATGCTAACATTAACAGGCAAACGGTGCTAAATACACAGCAACTAAAATAACATAGAAATGGCAAAACTTACAGCTCCAGTTTTGAAGTCGAGTCTCAGACAGCCGTCCAGATCCCACCAGAGCTTCAGTTTGAGGTGAATCCTGCTGTGTAACGTTACTGACCCTGTCAAGCTGAGGATGGTTCTACTGTTCCATCGGGGAACCCTTATGACATACGGCACCAAATGTCCACAATTCATGACCCTTTTTTTCACAGGTTTTTTTAAGATGGAGCAGGGGAAAAAGAGAAAGGCTGTTCTTTTGTGACACCAGGGGCACACATTTATGTTTAAAATGCGTGAAAAAGTGCATTTTGCATAATAGGTGATCTTTAAATATGCGAAGCTTGATCTATAAAAGCTGTGTGCAAACTCTGCCATGCTAATGTCACATACAGTGGTAAAGATTGATTCCATTATCTGCAGAGGAGACATACATATTGCATCCCTTTTGGCATAAGCAATTCTGATCACTCTTCTTTCTGGTCCCACATTTAAAGAGTTTATGGCTTGGTAAATGTTCCTTTCCTTGAAATATTTTTAAAGAATCCATAAATGCAATAAGTAACAATCTGCACCTACGGTTTGAATAACCGAACTGGTAAATATCATCGGCACCCATATGATTCAAGTGAGGCATACATGTGTAGTTATGGAGGAGTCAGTCCCACCTGGATGACTGGCTCCTGAGTGTCGTAGCCACTGGTGTACTCAGTGTTCCTGCACCAATCCTGCACATCGATCTCTGGCATCCCTGACAACAGGAGCTCCTGCGCACGCACGCACACACACACACACACACACACACACACACACACACACACAC